CATAATTGCCTCAATTGTGGAATTTTCATGAACACTTGCTTTCATATTTCTCTACCTCAAATCATGGATATTTCTCGATTTCTTCTCACTTGCCTCCATTGTGGAATTTTCACAAATATTTACCCTCCATATTTCTTTACCTCAAACCATGTATCCATCAAATTCCACCATTCATCATTTTCTTAATGCAAGTCTTAGCCCCCATACATATCTTATGCTCTGACACCAATTGTAAGGATCTTGTGAACCCTTAGCTTGCGGAACCGGGAATCCCAAACATCGGGATCCCACCCAAGATCGTGTACATGATTGACTAAATGCGAAGTAGAGGGATACAACTATAAATCGAGTGCGAGAAATAAAGCATACATAAAAAGCACACCACAATAACACACGATTTATGTGGTTCACCCTGTAGGGCTACATCCACAGCCTTGACAACTAGAAATCTACTATTACAATGAAAACTACAGTTTTTTGTTACAAGATATAATACATATCTCTAAACATCGGTAAAGACCATCACCGATCTTTCCTTCTAAACCCGCTCTCCAGATCGAGCCACATCGTCGATCAATATTTTCTTTCCCATTGCAATACCGCTACTGAAAAGATAACCTCAAGAGTAATAAAGAGATCTTCTCTATCTAAAAGTAGAAGTTAACCAACCCAAAACTCATGGGAATACTACCCCTTTCTCAGATGTCATGTCTCTCTCTCTTGAATCATGTCTCTCTCTCTTGAATACTCATCTCCATATTGGAGATCCATTCCCATAACCCCCAAAGGGGTGACCCTCAAAGGATGGGTATTATGTTCTCCTTCACTCTCTTATAAAGATATCACTTTCTTGCTTCCCAAGAAAATAAATTTTCTATTTCTCATAATACCCTAATCTTTAAAAGAAAATATGGGTATAGTGATTTAGCTATCACCAAACCCAACAATCTCCACCTTGATAGCAAATTCAATATAATTGCCTTGACAACCTTCATTGAATAGATTTTCTTGATTTCTTCATAATTGCCTCCATTGTAGAATTTTCACGAACATTTTGCCTTCATATTTCTTCACCTCAAACCATAGATGTTTCTTGATTTCTTCTCAATTGCCTCTATTGTGAAATTTTACAAACATTTTGCCTTCATATTTCTCCAACCCAAACCATATATCCATCAAACTCTACCATTCATCATTTTCTTAATGCAAGTCTTAACCCTCGTACATACCTTATGCTCTGATACCAATATTAGGGATCACGGGAACCCTTAGCGTGCAGAACCACAAATCCCAAACACTTGGATCCCACCCAAGATTGTATAAATGATTGACTAAATATGAAGTAGATGAATACAACTATAAATCGAGTGCGAGAAATAAACCAACCATAAAAGGACTCCACAATAACACACGATTTACGTGGTTTCACCCTGTCGAGCTACATCCACGGCTTCGACAACTAGAAATTCACTATAACAATGAAGATTACAATTTTGAGTTACAAGAGATAATACATATCTCTAAACATCGGTAAGAGACCATCACCTATCTTCATTTCTAAACCTACTTTCCAGATCGAGCCACACCATCCATTAATATCCTCTTTCCTACCACAATACTGTTACTGGAAAGATAACATCGAGAGCAATATAGAGATTTTCTGTCTCTAGAAATGGAAGTTAACCAACCCAAACTCATGGGATTACCGCTCCTTTCAAAGGCCATGTCTCTCTCTCTTGGAGACCCAACTCCATATTGGAGATCCATTCTCATAACCCCCAAAGGGGTGACCCTTAAAGGATGGGTATTATGTCCTCCTTCACTCTCTTATATCACTTTCTTGCTTCCCAAGAAAGTCAATTTTGTATTTTTCATAATACCCTAATTTTTAAAAGAAAATATGGGTATGGTGATTTAGCTATCACCAAACCCAACACAAAAGTATCTGATTGAAATGTTTATTGTTAAATCTTCCGCATGTCATGTACTTGATTTTGGGTTCTCATATTTGTATGATATTTAATCAAATCTTGATGCAGGAAAAAACTTATTATTCTTAATTTTTTTGAGTTTGTCTCTTCAAGAATAGAAGGTGCATAGGGATAATTAGGTGTACATAAGTTTATCTTGTGCTTTTATTGATATTGATCAATTGCGTTGGTTAGCTCTCAAAAAGAGGAATATAAATAGGATAATGTTAAATCTCGGGGGTTATCTTTTCAACAATAACCAATAATGGGGAGGCTTTGGGTGATGTTTTCTTGTTTAGTTATTGTTTATCTTCTTTTTAGTCTATTTAAAAGGGACATCTCCTTTCATTCTAAATCAGTGAGTTTGGTAAAATTTGGCTTCATGGAGATATTATTTTTAGGGTGGATTCTTCGAGAGAGGGTATATTCCCTTAACATTTTATTTTTTCTATTATTATTATTCCCATGTTATTTTCTTCCTGCATCAAATCTTTATAGTTTTTTTTTAGGTCGGGGGAAGGGCAGCGTGCTACAATACCATTGAGGTATTCAGAAGCAGTGGAATGGAAACCCAAGTAGCTACAAGAGGGAGCGAGCGAAAACCAGATAACGAGCGAGAGAAGATAGGGCAACAAAAACAATGATCTCAAAATATGCATCTTGTGGGAAGGTTAAGGCACCAAATGGAGGTCCAAGCAAAGGCAAAGAGTGAACCAGCCAGAGAAGGGAAATGACGGGAAGACGGGGTTCACTGGGTTTTAGGGATATCAAATAGCTGAAAAAAAACTAGAAAGAATAGCCCCTGGTGGTTGATTGCTAGTAATATTGAGCATATTGGACATCAAATGGTAATAGATCCTCTCCAATATAGTTTTTACTTAATTTGCTCTTGTTTTTCTTATTTGGGTGTGAATCGAACTTGCAAAGTTACTCGCCTCGGCCAAAGGTTAAGTTTTTTTTTTTATATTACAAATGTTGTCTTTATTATTTCGGATTGAGTACCTTGTCAGAGACGATCTTTAAACCATTCAAATAAATAATGCATATTTGATCATTCACGAAGAGTCAAAGTGCTTGGTAATGAATGGTCCAAAAATAAAATTTACAAAAGATTATTTTTAAGTTTCAAAAGATGTTACCATAACCATATGGAAAGGGAAAATAAAATAAAATAAAATTATATATATATATATATATAAATAAAAAGATCCACATGAGACCACACTTCCTCTCAATTTTAAGTTCCATAAAATTCTTATTACAATCTGATAGGGTCACACTAACCCAACGCAATGACCATTGAAACGATTAATAAGTCAGACAAAACATAGCAAGAAAATATAATTATTATTTTCATGGTTAGCTATCTCAACGAAAAAGTAAATAAAATGAGATTCTGAATTTACATGAAGAACGAGTCTCTCTCTCTCTTACCTCTCTCTGCCATTTTTCATGCGCGTTTAGTACCCGGAATTCCATTGCCTTTGTTATAAATAAAAAAGAACTGAAAATGTGTCTTGGCAAATCCTTTTTCTGAGAATTTACTTCTGTATGATTCACAACTAAAAGCTTATCAGTTCTAGTTGAAAAGTAGACCAACCTTCCATTCTGTACTCCCTAGAAGGCTCTTCAGTGAGGGCAACTTTATGATTTCTTTGATGAGTGTTTCACTTAGCTGAGTTTTAACTTGGGAGCAGATTTTTGAAAGGTTTGATTGCAAGATTTTTGAAAGGTTTAATTGCATCAGAGAGAGATTACATGTTGAGGCCATCATATACTTTGAAAACAGTGGGAACATCCAATTACTCTTTGAGCAGTGGAAGCAAAATCAACCACTTTTTGATTGAGATTTCTCTGTTCTTTGATCATTATTTTGTAGAGAATAGATCACGGTGGGACTCCAGATGTAGCTGTTATAGTGATAATTACTATTAGTGGAAGTTTGCAGTGAGTGAATTCCTTTACTTGGCATATACTTCCTCCCTTTTCTGTGTTGTCTGCTCGCTGGGACTAAGAACGCTCACCTACAATTATTAATGCATAAAACTAGACTTTCAGGTGCGACAAAGCTTCTCGGTCATCCAGAAGAGCATTGAGCATCAATTTCATCGATCACTGTCAATTTCAAGAAGAATTATCAAGGTTAATCTGGTTGCAACTTTTCCCCTGTAGTTAATTGAAAATTCTCAATTCCAAGCTCACCTTCCCAATCTTTTGAAATTGCTTGTTCCAGGGCTTGGTTGAAATTTCATTATTTGTCAATGACATAGCAAGTCTCTAAAGTGTTCCCTCTAAAACTAGGCAATCTATACTATCCTCAAGGTCAAATACTAGGTTGCGAGTTTTTTCCATCGTTATCACTGTTTCTGGTTTTTTGGCTTTGAAGTATGTTCTTGGCAAGATATGTCTGCGATATCATGTTAAGGCTTTCTTTGAACTGAGAATCGGATGCCAATGTGGTCCTTAGATTGTGTCCCAGTTCTTTTGACGAGGGCACTACTAAGCAATTTAAGTTATGGAGACGTTGTATATCCAAATCTTCGATGGGGAATTTCATTGTATTATTATTAAATTCTTAAATTTAGGTTACCTCCTAGAAAGTCCTTGTGTCGCATCCCTCTATGGGTAGGGTAATATTTTAATTACTGCCAATAAGTATGCAGAAAACACTTCTTAAAAAGAACCCAATTTCTTAGAAGTACTCTTTTTGTCCATTGCAGACAACAAAATACGCACACAAAAAGTGTCTTATACCATGGATAAGTAAAAATACACACACAAAAAGTGTCTTATACCATGGATAAGTACACTTTAGTTTTGAGGAGTTGGATTTAAGAGGTGGAAATGGATGTTAGTGAATGATGGGCTTGTTAAACCACGCACAAACATATGCCACAGAAGAAAGATATAAAAGAACAATATATTACAAGTAAATAATTGGTTGAACAAACTTTCCCCCATGCAAATGCTAGATTAGCATGAGTTATATAATGAATGCCACGACTGAGAAACCATTTGACTCTTAATCGTCGGTTATGTACCCCTTGAACCCTGTTCTTCTCTTCTTAATTGCTATACTCATGAACATTTCTACTATACACTCAATAATTATAAAACACAGAAGAAGAAAAACAAAAAGGTTCACATTTCTGATAAACACTCAATAATGATAAGAGATGGAGGAAGCCAAACAGAGTGTAAGTTTATGTTGAAAAAGGTGATGCATCTTCGCCGTCCTGAGAGTAAAAGTTCAGAGCCAGCAGAAGAGTCAAGGAACAAGTCATCATGCGCGGAAAAAAGGGATTGGAAGTAGTCATAGTTTTCATTTATGTTCACCACAATATCTTTAGGCAATGTGTTAGGGAAAGGGACATCACCATTCAAATACTGGCACACTTTCCTCATGCTAGGCCTTGAACCAGGCACTGGGTGAGAGCATAGCAATCCTAGCATTAACACCATTTCCATCTCTTCAGCCACAAATCCACCCTTAAGCCTAGGGTCACCAACATCCAAGAGCTTTCCTTCATTGAAGCACTTCACCATGTCCACCAAAATCATCTCTTCAGGCAACCTCTGCAGATCGACTGGCCTACGCCCGCAAGCCACCTCGAGCAACACAATGCCGTACGAGAAGACATCGGAGTAAGTGGTGTACTTGCCAGTACGGAACACCACTGGTGCGAGGTAGCCCAGTGTTCCCACCATGTGTGTCGTGTGCATGTCGGTTCCATAATCACATAACCGTGCCAGCCCAAAGTCCCCTAATCGACCATTCATATCTCTGTCTAACAAAATGTTGCTCGCCTTCATGTCTCTGTGTACTACCACCTGTTCTGCTTGCTCGTGTAGGTAGAGCAGCTCTGAGGCAACACCCTTTAGGATGTTGTGCCGTTGCTCCCAGCTTAAAATTGGGGTGCTTTCATCGAACAGGTGCTTGTCGAGGCTACTGTAGGGAATGTATTCATAGACTATGAGTAGCTCTGTTTTTTGCTTACACCATCCTAGTAGTGGTACCAGGTTCCTGTGTCGTAGTCTCCCAATGCTGGAGATCTCTGATAAGAAATCTCTTGACCCAACCCCGGAATCGTTCGCGTCACATTTCAATGCAATTTGCATCCCAGAGTCGGGCAATAGTCCTCTATGAACCTTGCCAAAGCCCCCGGATCCCACCAGCCCTTCCGCTCTGAAATCCTTGGTGGCCTTACAGAGCACCTTGTATGAGAACCTGTGCGGTCCATAGTCCAACTCCCACTCTTCCACGAGCTCCTCATCCCTTTGCCTTATAAGAAAGTATACAATCCCTGAGATAGTTGCCATGGCTAGGATTATAGAAGATAGAATTATCCCAATCTTAGAAGCCATAGAAATTCCTCTAGATGATTTGGCTTTCGGGTACCATGGAAGAAGAGAGAGATCTAAATCTTGAGCCCTGCCATTTATGGCGAAGCTCCATCCCAGAATGTAATGGCAGCTTGAAAATATGTCTGTGCTTGCAGAGAAACCCACATACATGAACTCTTGAAGGACTGGGGAGAGATCAATCCTGGAGGAAATCAAAGGGGGGCTAGTTCTTCCAGCTAGTTGAATAGGAGATAGAGTTACATTCAGCAACTTCTCCATGCCATCATATTCTATCCATACCTGAATTGGGTCTCCACTCTTGAGAATTATGCCCTGTTTGGTAGTCTTATGACCCTTTGTGATGTAATAAGCAGCAGAAGCCGATACATTAGACCTCAAGCTGTTTAGGTCAATGCCGACATGGTTATCATCAATGTCTTCTAAATCTATGCTCAGGCAGGTGTCGAATTCGACTGCAAAAACTTGATTTTTGGGGCCGCCATTTCCGCTGAGGCCGAGCAGCCCGAGGTACTGTTGGCTTCGGCTTCCTTCGAGCTTAGTAGAAGGAGAGATAACAAATGCAAGACCACTAGCTGGTGTGACAATAGGAAGAGTGATAACAAATACAAAAGCTGTTGAGAAAGAGAAAGCATTTCCTGATGAGGAGTTCTTGAATTGCAAGAGGTTGGGGAAGAAAGCATGGCGCAATACTTGTCTTGAATTGTTTGTCACTTGTAGTGCTCCACTAGGTATGATCTCTGCAACACCATTTAAGTTCAAGTTTGCGCCATGGAAGCTCGAGTAATTGAAGCCAGTGTCATATGAGGTAGAGGAGTTGATAACAAGAAAGAGAAGTAAAGCTTGGAGCAACATTTTTTATCTCTTCTGCTCGGGGAAGCAGGGAAAGCAAGAATTATATGCTTTGTTAAGCAGAAAAAAGGAAAGCAGGGGGTGGGAATGGGGTTGAGGTCTCCATTGACAACTTTTAACTGCTTCTAAAACGGGTACTGTAGACTACATGGACAGTAAAGCCAAAATATTTCCTACTCCCATGGGAGTATGCTATTAATTTACTCTCTCGGGCAAAATACATGTCAGGAATACTTTTTAGTTCTTAAATTTTGGGTATGTAATCTCTACAGCCCATAGATTAATCTCAGAAAAAATAGTTTCCGAAATAAACTCTTTGTATGTTAGAAAAACCTAATACCTCAAGGTTGAATAGAGACCGTCCAATTTTTTAAGCGCTAGATCTAAGTGTAAAAAAAATAAAAAATTCAAAATTTTCTTTAAAAAATAATCATCTACTAATTTTTCCCAGACAAAAAAAAACAAAGCACTTAGTGTTCTGACCAAAGGGAGCAAAAATGCGATAAAAAGTGTCGTGATTTTATGGATGCATAAAGTCATAGGAAGAAACGGAGGAAGGAATTGAGTTCCATTCATATGATATTTTGGTGTACCCGCCTATTGTTTTGATATTAACTAGCACTATAACACCATGAGTATAATTAATTTAAGAAAAAAATTAATGTTAGGGTGAGGCTCTAAACAATCAAATTAAGGTACACTTAAAAAATCTACTAAAAGAATTTGTTTCAATGCCTAAAAATCTTCAAATCGATCATCTGGATCGCAATATGTACAAACATTAGAAAAAAAATGCATTGTCTTATAAATAATACATCTTGTAATATATTTTCTGAAACGTTAATTTTGAAGATTATCAAGCGTTTATAAATCTTCTCAATTTATACTATTTTTTCCGCTTTCAATTTTATAATTATAGATAAAAAATAAATTTTCAACCATCAACAAATATTTTAACACTGAAATAATATTTTTCAATGTTATTTCAAGGTGTGTCTTACATTGATTGTTTAGGATCTCAGCCTTGAAAGTATACTATATACAAAATTCTAGTATTACTTTCATCAAAACCGTCCTTTTGTAGTAATGGGGGGTGGAGATGAACCATTCTCTCCAAAAAAAATGGTCACCAAAATTTATTAGTAGACACAAATTGCAAGTAATGGCAAGCTCTATTTATTTGATTCCAACAAGGTGTCAGATTTTCTATGGCATTATTCATGGAATGCCACGTGTTTGTATGAATAAAAGATTGAAAGGTGATTATGCCTTATGTTGTTTGACTTATTTGGAATGCTATCAAAGTCTTGTGAATTACCCTAACCACATCTTTTGAATTGGGGTCGACGTCCACGTTCCTTGCCAAATAATAATAGGTCTCGACCTCTTATTGGCCTCTTATTTTAACAAGGATCCTACTTTGATATGTTCAATTTAATGATTATTTGGATGGTCGGGTAATTTTTGTTTGCTCAATTTATTGATTATTTTTTATAAGGGCGAGGCCCTAAACAATCGAATTAAGGCGTGTCCTAAAATTCACAAGAGGTGGTTGTTTTGATGCTCCAAAACCTTCAATTATATCATCTCAAGCTCCATATTTATGTACATGAGAAAAAATAGATTTCAAGTTTTGAAAATAGTGCGTCTTGTAATGTATTGTCTATCAAGGTTTTCAAATGTTCATGTTTTCATTTTTTTTTTTTATTAAAAATAAAAATAAATTTTCGGATCGTCTTAATGATTTCTGATGCTAAAACAACATATTTCAGCGCTGTTTGAAAGGTGTGCCTTCTTTGATTGTTTACGGCCTCAGCCTTATACAAACAACATCTTTTTTATTTTGAGCTCTATAGAAAACCTAGGATTATGCCTTTAGGGTGAAAATTGATATTTTTTTTATTATTTTTTTTCACACAAAGTCTATCCTTTCCTTGTAGGCATATGGAATTAGGGGTGACAATCGGCTTCCTAGTCCAGCCCAACCTGGTTGACTAGGCCCTCAATAACATGGGCACGGACCCTACTTTTAACACGCTTGCCTGCCAGGCTTAAAATCTAAGCAGAGTTGAGTGTGTGAATGAAGAGATTTTTGTGATTTAATAGTGAGTGGACTTTGCCAGACCGCCGGATATGGTCGGGCTTGGACCAAGGGGTCCATGGCTGACTTGGCCCGAACCGCCCCAATATATAGACTACATTCTATATAATCTAGAGACCATGTAAAGTATGTAAGTAATAAATTTTATGTAACTGTATAGATTACATATTAGCGTATAGCTATGAGTGAAGAGATTGCAGCATTATAGGTGAACCAAACTCAGGATTTTGTTCCATCGGCCCCAAATTCAGGGCTCTATCCATTGATAGGCCTCCCATAAATCATGCCAGATCACTTTGGCTTGCGATTATTAACTAGAGTGGTTCAAAATTGCAGGAACTTGGGAGTTTTTTTAGCCAAAATTTGAAGGGAGTTTCTATTGTTGCCTCTTTTTGGTACTCATTCTGTATAGTGGGATGAGTGGCAAAAAAGTAGACATCTAAAACATCAAAATTTAAAATAAAAAATACAGATTACTCGTATGAATGTCTAACACCAACAAATAGAGCATGTCACTATCATGATCCATAAGACTTGAACACATCCCCAAATTCAGGGCTCTGTCCATTGAGAGGGCTCCCATAAATCATGCCAATTCATCTTGGCCCGGGTGTTAGTTTTGATAAGCACTAAAAAAGAACATGGTTAGAGGTTGCAGCTATCATGAACATTAAGATTTCCACTTCTTGTTTGAGATTTCTTCTGCCAGTGATGCCATACATTGACCTCTTTTCTAGTAGTAGAAAAGAATTTGAATTCCAACATGCCCTTGGCTGCTAAAATTTCTCTATGATTGTGGGTATTAACTCATAGGTTTTACTGGATGAGGAACTGGGTTGGAAAGGTGATTTACCTAGAATGGTCTCCTCCCCCAACTTATTAATGTTTTTCTCTTGTTCAAGCAATCCTCTCAGGTTTTGGATTTGGAGTTTTATTTGACACCGAATGGTGTCATCATTATCGGGTGACTAATCCAAATCCTTCATTTTCAAAAATATTTTAATAAAATTTTGAAAATAGGGAGAATTTTCAAAAAGAGTTCGATGCCAGGTTTTTAAAAGACAATTGAAGTTTTAGAAAAGGCTTACTGATGCAAATAAAAAATCATTTTTATTTTTATTTTGTTTTCTTGATTTTAGATTTGGTATTATTTAGGTTTTTAGTTTATTTAGGGTTATTATTGTATTTTTTATTTTGGAGATTTGTGGGATATAAAGGATATTTATTTTAGAATTTATGTGTTATCTTTTAGATAAAAAGAAAATAGGAAAAGTTTATATAAGGTTATAACTTTAAAATGTGGAACTACATATGCACCTCAAAAATCCATCGGAAAAGATTGTTTTAATATTGAAAAACCCTCTAATTGATCATCTTGACATTAAGATGTATGATTATAAAAAGAAAAAGGATTTTGAGTCCTAGAAATAGTGCATCTTAAAACACATTATCTAGACCATCAATTTTAAGATTTTCATATGTTTATAGATCTACTTGATTTTAATCATTTTTTAAGTTTAAAATTTTATAATTAGCCATGAAAATAGATATTGAGATAATCTTAAGAATATTTTACATCAAAATTATATGCTATGCTAAAATTTGAATGTGAACCTTAAATGGATTGTTTAAGGTTGCAATCTTATGGAAACCACACCAAAAGAAAATACGAAGGACTATCTTTTAGATGATATGCATTTAAGGTTGCAACCTTATAGAAACCACACCAAAAGAAAATACGAAGGACTATCTTAGATGATATGTTTTAATCTTTAGGAAGTCAGTTTTTTATTTAGAAAATCAAACATGTAGTTAGAAAGGTTATTTTTTTTAGGAAAGAAGTGAGTTTTAGAAGGAGAGATAAATGTGTTTTTATTTATTGATTTATTATTTTAGTTGTATTTAAAGGAAAAATGTCTATATTTGTAAACAACGAATATATTGAAATTGGATAAACTTGATCTTGTGAAAAAGATTGTTTTGGGGATGGATTTCTTTGCAGACTTTGAGAATTGATATATTCTCTCAAACTTTTCTTCCATTTTTATTTTCTGATTTATTATTATTTCTCCCTGTATCAATTGGTATTAGAACATTGAGATCGGTAAGATCTAGTTATGGAGTCTCTAAATCAAATATTTGAGTTACTCAACGAAAGCAAATTTATAGGACAAAGTCTACTAGATCTATTTCATAACTACCAATCAGAGGAACAATAATATGAAGTGGTAAATCTCGATGCAAAAGACGATATTGATAGCCCAAATTTGCAATAATTGTCAAAAATCAATTGTGAAGAAAATAATACTTGTGTTGCCGCTAATGAAATACCATCCTATGAGCCAAAAGGAGAAATCAAGATTCAATTTGGTATTCTAGAAATTTTGGTACCTAAAACTTCCACTACAAATTGTATTGGATATATTATTTATTTATTAAAGAAAAAGTATCGCGACACATAGTGGGATAGCATCACCAACTTTTGAGAATACCTCTAAAAGATTTAAGTTCTATAAGCTCAAAGTCGAGCTTCTCCTAACCTGGGGAGAATGATGCAATAAAAAATCAAGTTTTTTTTGTGTTTTTATTTTTTTATTTTTTTAATTTTAGATTTAGTAATATTTAGGTTTTTAGTTTATTTAGGGTTATTATTGTATTTTTTGTTGTAAAGATTTGTGAGGTATAACGGATATTTATTTAAAAAATTTAGGAGTTATATTTTAGATAGAGAGAAAATAAGAAGAACAGTCTTAGATGATATGTTCTAATATTTAGAAAGTAAATGTTTTAGTTAGAAAGTTGATAAACATGTAGTTAGAAAGGTTATCTTTTTAAGAAAGAAAGGAGTTTTAGAAGGAGAGATAAATGTGCTTTTTTTTAGTTATTTTATAAAGTTTAGTAGTATTTAAAGGGAAAATGTCTATCTTTGTAAACAAAAGGGTGGGTTTTCTTGTAAACCTTGATAGAATAAATATCCTCTCAAACTTTTATTTTATTTTTATTTT